TGGGAGCCTGCGTGCCCAGACCCACCTTCGACCAGGAATGCAAGGTAAACACTCAAGGAAACACGCAAAAGCAGCAGCCATTTTCAAGACCCATACCTTTGCCGCAAAGAACGCACAAAGAGCCAGTCTGTCTGCCGATCAACACCAGGTGCCACAGGAACGTAAGGCTGAAATCAACTCTTAACCAAACGAGCACGCAAAAGAAGCAACCATTTTACAGCACCCACACCTTTGGGAAAACAAGCGCCAAGAACACAGCACTCAAGAAAGCCAGCCAGGCATTCCAAAGACCACACTTTTGGGAAAATGGACGCGAAGAACGCAGCGCTCAGCATTTTGACAACGAGCAGGCAATAACGTCCAAGGCGCAGCACGGGGCGTACGCTAAGCAAGCAACCCACGAAGAAAGGTGAGGAGAGAAGAGTTGCTCAAGGCTCCGGCCAGCAGCCTCCGAAACCAAAGAGCATGTCCAAGCCCTTGGAGCGGATGGTTGAGCTGGTCCCAGACCTGGCTGTGCAGGAACCGCCAACGTGGTACAACGATGCATGGTGGGCGATCTGTCGTCGTGGAACGACAATCGAAGATTTGGATGTGTCAAAGTACGTTACTGAGCTGTCGGAAAGTGACATGGTGACGTACCAAAACAGCTTTGATAAGCTGGTGCGGCCGGTGCAAGAGATTGCGTGAACCGAAGCCGGTGAAGCTGTTGGGAGTCATCGATCTCCGTGGACAAATCGGTGGCAATGTGAAAAGCAGAGCTCGCGCAGCAGTCTCTTTTTCACTTCGCACTTAAGCCAAACACCAAAGTGTTCAGCAAGCTTCAGTTCTTGCAGCAAGCTCTCTCCAAGAGCTAAGGGCTCCAAAAAGCTACGAATTCCATCTCAACTTTGTTCTACAAAGGAGGTAAAGCAAAAGAACAATGCAACTGCTTTGTTCTTCACCTCGGGGACTTCAGGTCACTTCCGAACAGCAAAACAGCGAAGCTTCAGAGTCCACTCTGCACTCCTACTCCCATCCTACACGTCCAACGGCAACGAACGAAGTGGCGGGGACACGGAGTGAGTTGCAGCAAGACAGAACCTCAGAGTTCTGACACGCACTTCTTCACTACTGCTCTCAAGCAATTCCAAGTGCTTCAAAACTCATCCTCGGCCATGCCAACAAGACAAGACATGCGTCGCAGTCAACCCAAACATGCTTTAGGGACTTTGGACAAAACCAAACATGCTCATGCCAAGTCATGCAGCAGAAAAACTCTCATGCTTCTCTCTGTATGGTCAAACACCACATGGCACCAACTGGGCAAACACTACAGGTGAATTTTACGTCTGCACGCTGCGTCGCGTAGCCACCCGAAGGGGCCGTTGGTCAAGGTGAAACTAAACTAAAAATTACCTCGCTTGAGGTGTTGCGTTCTCAGCTAGGCCCTCTCTCAGCTGCAACCCTCAGCACTCGCGAGGCCGAACTTTGCCCTCCGCATGCATTGCTGTTGAGGCACTTGTTGTGGCATCAGCCTCCGTAAGTTTGGCAATCCCCACTCAGCACTGGATGTTCTGTTCGAGGCATATTCCCTCAGCGCATGCGAGGCCGCAAAGTGAAACACGTGAGGTATGAAAGACTGCTACTCCAGGTTCGTCCGCAGCTCCGGCTTTCTCGCACTTACTAACCGTGCCTTGCAGCCTCCCCCAAAGTAGCGTCACCCTGGCTTTCTCGCTCTTACTCACCAGTTGACCAATAATGCATCTCACGCGGTTGCTTCATGGTAAAACTGCAGCTCGAGGTCCCGGCGTTCTCGCTCTTACTAACCCGGACCGACACTGCAGAGAAGCATTGACTGTTGTTCCCTCAGCGGAGGCGAGGCCGAACAACCATTCCGCTGCATCTGCGCAGCCAGGCCCTCAGCTCCTCACTGAGCCAGGGCTATCTCTAGACAGAGTTCCCTTGCCAAGCCCTCTATCTCTATGTGACCCCCGCGGTGCCACGTATAAGCAGCTGCTCCGCGTGTCTTAGGACCACAGTTTTCATTCGGATTTGTTGTTGTAGGCCTTCCAGTGCTTGAGGCCGAAACCAAACACCACATCACACGTCACAACGGCGAGGCAATTTGGCTCCAACATCTGAAGATAGTGACACATACTCTGCGTGGCGTCCGCGTGAGCTAGCCTGTCCTCGGCTCCTTTCATCGCTTGTCTTACCACAGGTCTCTTTCGGTGGCCCGTACTCAGCAGCCAGTACATGTACCATCCTCAGACGCCAGAGCCGCCTTGCCCCAGCAAGTGCCCATACAAACCACTCACCGACAGTGAGAGCCAACATCTTCAAACAACCTCCAGCGGCCGTGCCGCGAGGACCTAAGCATCTGCAAGGTTCCGCCTTGTCTGTGTGCACGGACAGACCCCAGCCCTTGCAGGAGACGTGAATGTAAACAAAAGTAGGCCTGCCATATCCAGCAGGCTGATAACCATTGGTTGCCTTCAGATGGGAAAAGCGCGAAGTTCGGGTAACCTCCATCTGAGTTCTTTCCGGCCAATACCAGCCTTTACAAACCTTCAGCACTGAGCGAGGCCGAAGAAGGCTATCTCGGACTATTTGTCTGCCGGGGAGCAGCCACCAACAGCTGCTCTTAACTTGCACTGTGCCGCACCACAGGCCTACTGCAAGTTCTTTGGCAACGGTTTCTCAGTAGCACCAGTCAATGAGCTTTACGACACTGATGCCTTTGGTTATTTGTGTCCAGGCAGATCCACCAGGGTTGGGCCAAATCTGTTCTACCTGATTCTACCTACGAAGAATATCCAGTTGTGCTCAGCTTGCAGATCCCCGAAAACCAGCAAACTCGGGCTCAAGCACACCGCTATTGTTCGGGACACGCCTGTCACAACTGCAAGGATGCCGCTTGCAGTGCGACGTTGGCCTGCACTGTCTGCAACGTGCCTTGGCCGTTTTCCCCCGTGTTTCGGTCTCACCTTCGTTTTCCACACAAGCGAGCGAGGAACCCAAACTCACCCTAACACACAGCCCTCAATCCAAATGAGGGTCGGCGGGTTTTGTTCACCCAGAGACAGCAGGCAGCAGGAATCTCTGGTGAGCAACAGGCTCTAGCGTCACCCCTCAAGCAAATCGAGGCTGCAACTCTCACTGTGACCCAGAGCAGACTGTAGGCCACAAGGTTCCCTCAGCAACGCGAGGACGAAAAGTTTCCCTCTAGCGTTCCCTCAGCAACGCGAGGACGAAAAGTTTCCCTCTAGCGAAGCGAGGCCGAAGACTGTGCACTCGAACGTCCTTCGTCGACGGCAGCAGTTCGCGGGCCGCCGCTCTATGACAGCTTAGCCGGTCAGCCGGCCTACGAGCAAACACAGTTTTGCCAGGGCCTCAAAACGGAACCTACCCTTAGTTACAAGCCCCAGGGCCAGCATCTCACGTCACTTGGCGGTTGTTGCCCGTCCTGGGCACCACCGGGGCCAAACAAAGCTTCGTCGTCTTCGTCTTCAGGCACAGGGGTTGACAGCCCGGGGTCAGCCATGGCTTCTAGTTTCTACGAGCGTGCTACACACGCTCCGCTACCATGTGAAAACACAGCAGCAGCGCGCTGAACCCTCTTTTTCTCACGACTTGAGCCAAAGTCATAAGCCGGAGGCTTCGTCAGTGAAACTCTTTACACACAGGTGAAAAATCTGCTCTGCCACGTGTTCTCCACAGCCACAAAACAAACTCAAACGTCAGTGGGAGTTCTCGGGACCTACCCAACTACACCTAAAGCAAGCAAAAACGTGCACAGTCACTTCTACAGCTTCCAGACACACATCCCTACAACTCAAGCACTTCAAAAGGCTTTCCCACTTGAAGCAGCACTCCCGTCGAGCCTCCAAGGCACAACTACGGAGTTCCTCCAACTACACACACACAACTCTGAGCCAGCATGCAGGACAACAAAGTTAACATGTCCTTAGACAGGAACTTTCACAAGGACGAAAGATACGAGGAATGAAGCTGTATTCCGTCTTGAGCAGCTACTTGAAGCATCGGCCGTTAAGAAGTCGACAACATGATGGATTTGAAGTCTGGAGGCGACTCACAATGGAGCTCGAACCATCCTCCAGATCTAGAAGTCTGGCAATGGCCCAAGCCTGGTAGGATCCTGCAATGGCAAAGGGAGCCAGCCTGATGGATTATGTCCTCACATTCCAGAACTTGGTCAATGAGTATGAGAAGTTATCGGCAACGAAGTACGATGACAATCTAAAGATTGGGACGTTGCTGAAGGGCATCCCGCAGAATCTGAAGCAGCACATCATGGTAGGAATCAATGAGAAGACAAGTTACAACGATTTAAGAACGAAGCTACAGTACGAACGAAGCAACCAAACGTGGTCCGTTGAGCGTTCAGGCCCCAGGAACAAGTTCAAGCTCCAAGGAGTACCAAGGACCGATCCCAATGGAGATCGATCGTCTAAAAGGAAAAGGAAAGTATGACAAAGGAAAAGGAGGAAGAGGAAAAGGACAAGGAAAGTTCGAGAAAGGAAAAGGAAAAGGAAAAGGAAAAGAGAGAAAAGGCGGAAGAGGAAGAGGTCGCGGCAAAGGCCGTGGCAAAGGACGAGGAAAGTCTGTGAGGCAAGTGGAGAATGGCTACGGAAGTCAAGGAAAAGGTTCAGGTGGAAAAGGATCAAGATCTGGAGTAGTCACTTCGCGTCAGAATGTTGGACGTCAGCGAAAGGAGGAAAGGACTCCGGAAAGTCGAAAGGAAAGATGCGACAAGTGCGCGAAGGCGAAGAAGATTGGAACCAAGATCAAGAATGGTCAAGTGGTGTGTGGAATGCACCATCACAGTCAAGCACCAGTTCACATCCAAGCCAGTACCGAAGTCAAGAGCAATCGCAAAGTGCGAGTTGCGCAAGCTGCCAAAGGGAGTGAACAAGTGAGAAGAGTCAATGAGAGGTCGATGACAAGAATCGAGAAAGTCGACGAAGAAGACGATGAAGAGATCGTAGACTTCTATCGAGATGTTTCGAGAATGGGGAAACAAGCCCTACGCAAGAATGGTCAAGGAAGTTCAAGTGTTCGACATAAGCCAAGAAGATGAAGAGCTGAACGAGCTGGACGAGTGCCAGATGTGGTATGAAGAAGACCGAGCAGAAGTCAAACAGGAATCGGTTGAGAATCCAAGCCCAAGTCCAAGTGCTCAAGAAGAAGACCGATCAGAAGTCAGACAGGAATCGATTGAGAATCCAAGCCCAAGTCCAAATGCCAAGAAGCAAGTAAGGATCGAGTACGAACGGTTCGGTTACCAGGGTATGAAGACCTGATCGAAGTTGTCCTAGACAGTGGAGCAGACTGCCATGTCTTGCCGTTCAGCTACTATAGCGGAGAAGTAGAACTTCCAGCACTAGAGATGGTCATTACGGATGCACAAGGAAATGCAATCAGAACGATCGAAGCGAGAACCAACATAACGTTTGAATTCCAAAGATCCGATGGAAGAGTGATTAAGGTCAAGGACACCGCCGTGTTTGGTCAAGTGACCCAACCGCTGTTTGCAGTGGGGAAGTTGTACAAAGTCGGATGGGGCATCGAGCCCCAGGATGCATGCAGTGCGTTCCTGACGAAGTTAGTGAAGCAGAAGAATGGAAACAATATGCTCATGGAACATCGACGGGAATGCGTTGGCAATGTCATGCAAGCATCTGACAAAGCTATATCCAGCGTCGCACAGTCGCTCTAACACCGCATGTTAAAAAACCATGGCCTCGATGCGCGCGCATAACCATATGCGTGCGGCCGAGCGCCCAGGGGTTCAGCTTGTTTCCAATATGCTTGAAGAAATGCCAATACAATCCAAGCTGTTGATTGTTCGTAAGGCATGGTAACCTGTCTTACCATTGGCTTTGCTAATCTTGTGGGTTTGGCAAGTTGCCAAATGGCCGGCACACGATGTACTGCGAATAGCAACAAAACCATCACAAAAGCGCTTCTCAAAATTCCACAACGGCGGAAGCTTGACGTTGACATGATGTTCCATTGGCAGCGCAGCAGTTTCTAAGTGGACTACATATCTGCAGCAAGATGGGTGTGGGCATCTGCGGTTCTGGTTGGCGTGCACAACAAACTGACTCTGCTTATGCATCATACAAATGTGGCAAGTATCTTGTCTTTGATTTCCCAGCTTGTTTGCGCAACGTGGGGCTGGGTTGGTGCTTGCAATCAGCACCCAAACGTTTAGCTTGCGCAATGTGGTTGGTGTTGCGGAAGTATCCGGGTTAAGCGACAGGATGTTGATTTTTCTTTGTTGCTTTGTATATCCCTGTGAAGCCATTGCAGTGTTGAGCGGAGTTGCATTAGAAGGCTGTGGAAGTTTGTTAACAAATTGTTTAACGCTGTGCCCGCTCGCTGTGTGCCAGTTGTCTGCGGGACGTCGGTATCGTATGTCCCGATAAGGTTTTCAAGAAACTCAACGGTGACAGATACCGAGCGGCAATGGGAAATGACAAGACGATGTGCCGATCTCAATCAGGAAGCTTACCCTGACGAAGGAACTGAAGGATGACATAGAGAATGGCAAGTACGAAGAGGGTGGTTTTATTTCACCGACGGACGGCCAGTGAGAATCGACTGGGACGTGAACACGACGTACAGCCTTGGAAGAGACGAAGGAAAAGCGTTCACGCAGAACCACGCTGAGAACAAGATATGAAGAAGAGCAAACAGTCTGGGAAGAAATGGGATTTTATGAGTGTGCCGAGGAGTGGAGAGAAAGAGGCACAATGGTCATAGTACCAGAGATCGAGAAGGCAGTGGTCATCACGATCATGGAAAGATTTCCGAGAAGTGTCGAAGATTACGGAGAATACAGCAGTCCGTACAAAAGAAAGGAACCAGAGGAAAAGCGTGATGTGGAGATGGAACAACAAGAACAAGAAGATCTATGGAAAGGAAGATCAGAAGAAGAGTTGCAGCGAGAAATTGACAAAGGAATCGAAGAATTAGCACAAGCGCCAAGTCCTGGTGCGAACCCAGGACAGCATCTGCAAGAAGAGAACGATGAGAGTGAACGAAAGAAGGTTGAAGAACAACTTCCGAAACTTGGAGAAGCAATGGATGAGAGAATGAAGATCGGAGGAATCGAGCTGACACCAGCGAGTACGATAAAGCAGTTGAGGAATGCTTGCGAGTTCCTCAAGATAGGAAAGACAGGAAGCAAAGCTCAAATTTGGCAGAGACTGAAAGAAGCTGTAGCGTCAAACAAGATGAAAGAACTAGTCGAAATCTCGAAAGGACTCGAGGTTGAGTTCTCAAGAGAGCCAGATGGAGAGAAGAGACCGGAAGCGCCGAGCGAAGAAGAAAGGAAGAGACACGAGCTGACACACCTGCCGAAGGCGGACTGGTGTGAAAGTTGTTCGGCAACAAGAAGTAGAGAAGATGATTTCAAGATAACAGAGAAGAAGTATGAAGCGTCGTTGGTAAGCATGGATTTCAAGTTCACCGGAACAAGGAACGAAGAAGATGCAAAAGACGTGAAAGATGCATTGTGCATAAGTTTGGTCATGGTGGACCAAGAGACAAAGTTTGTCCACGCAATTCCTGCTGATGCTAATGCAGCCGAAAGTGATCTTGAGAACGGACACCGAACCAGCGATGATTGCGTTAAGAAAGAAGGTGCAGACGATAAGGAAAATGCAGAAGCTTGAGACAGAGATTCAAGACGTTGCACCAGACACACACCAAGGAGCGCAAGTTGAAAGATGGTACAAACCGTGAGGAACCTATCGAAGACTTTGGTGTATGGAGTTGAGAAAGAAGCGAAGGTAAAGATCACAAGCGAGAGTACACTGTATCCATGGGCACCAAGACATGCAGCATTCCTGCTGAACAGGTTTGTTGTACAACAGGGGAAAACCCCGTTCGAGTTGGTATTTGACCGTGAGTACAAAGGAATTTTGGTACCATGGGGTAGTGTGGTTGTGGCGAAACCACTACCGAAGACAAAGGAAAAAGGTGAAGCATGGAAGAAAGGAATCTTCGTTGGAAAAGATATGGTTTCGAACATGAAGCTGGTGAGCACCAGTTGCGGAATCATCAAGAGTCGGACAATGAGACAATGTTCGCCAACGTTCGAAGTGGAGACATTGGCAAATGCATGCGGAACGCCGTGGAACTATAGCCAAGAGCAGTTGACAGGACGGTCGAAGCAGCCGAAGAGGCTACCGCCATCGAGTGGAATCGAAGTGGCGCCGATCGAAGGACCGCCAGTACAAGTCCCGAGAACTCCAGCAGTTGGTCTGGAGACGCCGCAGTATAGCCCGACAGCGTCGGAAAGACCAAGCGATGCAATGGCATCTGATCCACCGACAAGTGATGATGATGACAATGATGAAGATCCCGGCGAAGGCCAAAGAAATTCTGAAGCAAGCAGCAGGAAAGGAGCAGCGGCAAGGAAAAGAGATGAAGCAAGTCTGACCTCGGGTGAAGCCGAGGAAGAAGAGCCGGAAGGCACAAGCAAAAGAGAACTCGAAGGAGCAGCCGCGGAAGAACCTGAAGCAAACAAGGCCAAGAGTCGACGAAGGAAGCGGACAAGTTGAAGAACGACCGGAGAAGATCCAAAGAGGAGAACCCTCAGGAACCGTGAGAAGGATAATGGCCACAAGAAGTGTGCAAGAAGTTGCGTCATTCCTCAGGAAAGAATTGCCGAAGTACCATGATGACGAAGAGGTAGAGTTGGAGGAGTTTGAAGGACTCGAAGTCGAGTTTGAAGAGCCTGAAGAGGAAAGAAGCTCGGAGCTCGGAGAAGACGAAGAGTTCGAGGAAAGTATGCCAAAGTGGTCAAACAAGTTCGAAGATGGACCTCCGAAGTTGGACGAAGATGAGCTGACGAAGGTCGACGTTGTGTCAAGAGAGCACGAGATAAGCCGACTTACAGAGATGAAAGTCTTGAAAGAGCTGCCTGAAGGCACGAGCGTGAGCAACTACAAGTACCTCTCAACCAAAGTTGTCTACGATTGGAGGCATCGAGACAATGAATGGCAACGGCGTGGCCGGTTAGTTGCCCGCGAGTTGAAATGGTTGGGGTCAACGGACATCGCAACGCTATTTTCTCCAACGGGAGTTGCGAGCACAGTGAAGTTGCTCTCAGCAATGTTTGCGTCGTCAAACGACCACATACTCGGAAGCATTGACGTAGGAGATGCCTACTTGATGGTAGAACAAGAAGAACCAACAGTCGTCGAAGTCGACGGAAAATACTATGAACTCGGATTCACGTTGCCAGGGCAACGGATAGGATCAAGCGCATGGTTCAACAAGCTGAAAGGATACCTCGAAGAGTATGGACTCAAATCCGACGAAGGACTACCAGCTTTGTTTTACAGGAGACAAGAAAAGGGAAAGGCTGGAATGGTTGTGTTGTCACACGTTGACGACATGGAACTATACGCGACGGAGAAAGAGTTTCAAGGATTGATCGAGTTTCTGAGAAAGAAGAAGTTGAAGATCAAGGTCGAAGGACCGTTGCGAGAACAAGAAGGTTCAATGAGTTTTCTGAAGAGAGGATTCAGCGCAGTGAACGATGGAGACGTTGAGATCACGATGAATTCCAAGTACATCGAAGGATTGACCGAAGTGTTGGAGTTGGAAAATTCGTATCCAAAGAAATTGCCATGCACAGCGGACAATGGAAGGGCAATGCAAGCGAAGAAAGGAGGAATGGACCCGCTATCGGAAGCGGATCACCACACGTACAGGAAAGGTGTAGGTATACTGTTGTACTTAGCACCGGAACGGCCCGATCTGATGTATGTTCTGAAGAAACTTTCAACGAAGCTAGCAGCGCCTGTGGAAGCAGACAGGGAACTGCTGAGGCATGCTGCGAAGTATCTGAAAGGTACACCCGACGTGTCGCTGATACACAAGAAGAGTTACCCAGGAAGAAGTTTCACCGAAGAGCGAAATGAGAGAAAAGATGAAGAAGTCGAGATATGAGCAAGAGTCACTGTTGGAGATAGTGACGGATTCTGATTGGGCAGCCGACAGAGAGTCGAGGCAAAGTGTGTCGTGTGGAGCGATCATGCTGAATGGAAATCTGATTCATTTTCAGAGCAAGCGGCAGAAGAGCATAGCTCTCAGCTCATGTGAAGCGGAGACTATCGCCGCAACGTCAATACTTTCTGAAGGAGTGTTTCTGAAGGCACTGTTGACGAGAATCCTCGGAAAAGAACCAAAGATGGTGATGTATTCAGATTCGAGCAGTTCAAGACAACTGATTGCTCGGAAAGGACTGGGGAAAGCCCGTCATCTCGACGTTGATCTGTTATGG